CCTCCCAGCGAACTCTGACCCCGGACGGCGCCGCAACCGCCCTGCCCAGCGCCTCTCCGCTGCCCTGGCGCCGGCTGTGCCAGCGGGGTTGTGCGGTTATCTACCGCCCCGCTCTACGGATCTGTACACTGAAGCCGGCTGGCCGACACGCCCCCTGCCTGCCCGGGAGGCAGCCTGTTGGGATCCAGTCCACTCCGGTGCCCACCCTCAGTGGGACTGGACGCGAACCTAGGGCCGCCGCGGAGGGAAGGTTCCGTGGGCCTGACCTTCAGCGTGCCCAGGGCCGAGACCTGCTTCTGCGGAGCCACGCGGACCAGGCGCCTCTCCCCAAACCACTGCACAAGGCAAACGTGCACGCCCGGGCCATTTTCCGACGCTCGAGGTTCGCACCTATCCAGGGCCAAATGACCCCCACACCTGCTGTGGTGTTCTCGGAGCCGCTCACCCAAACCCCGATACCTTCCTGGGCTTAGCTGCACCGGCTTCCTCCAGGGTGCCTTCGTGGGACACGCACCTTACCCCCACATCCCCACCTACTCCAGCAGCTTTGCGGGTCTTTCTGATGCCGTAGATGAGAACTGCCTCCCTGAGGGGGTGGGGGTGACCTGTCCTGCCTGGGGTGAAGGTCATGGATGGCAAGGGCCCCTCTGCCTCCCGAGGTGTGTGTAGGGGAGTGGAGTGAAGAGGGAACAAAGGGTAGGGAGATAGGAGCCTGCCCTCCTGGGTGCTCTGTCCCCCTGGGAGCCTTGTGTTTGCCCACCTGGAAATTATAGGCGAGTTGTCCGAGGGCTGGATACAAGCTTCTACAGAAGCTGGCAGTGGTCTTGGAAAGATCTGTAGCTCACCGTTAGTACCTCTGGTGGTAGAGACTGGTCAGGTGGGAGTTTATAAAGCCTACAGAGACGCTAGGGCGTGTGCTAGGTGGTGCCTGCCTATAATCCTAGCACTTGGAGCCTGAGGCAGGAGGTTTCCGAAATTCAAACCTACCCTGGGCAATCACAAACCTGACTAAAAATTTAAAAAAGAGCTGGGTGTGGTGGCACACACCTATAATCTCAGCATTTGGGGTGCTGAGCCAGGAGTATCTCCACATGTTCAAGGCTAGCCAGGGCCACATAGTGCATTCAAGGCCAACCTGAACTACACAGTGAGATTGTCTCAGAAAACAAAACAAATAAAAAAAAAATGTAGCAACAGGTCTTGGATGTTACCCTGTGAAGTCCCAGGGTTCAACCCCAATACAACCAAAAAAAGAAAAGTTTACAGAGCTGGTGAGAGTCACCCTCTCCCTGCAGCTGCTGGCTACAGACCTTGCTGGTCCCAGAGAACCCTTTCCTTTCCTCCACCTGCCTTTCTGCTTGCCTCCCACCTCCAGCAAAAAGGGGCTTCTATGACTAGAAATAGCATTTTACTTTGTTTTTCTCTTCTTGACTCCCTCTTTGCATCTGTATAATGGGGATATTGGACCAGCGAAACTCACCTACTGCATCATTCTTGACTGGGTTTCTGGGAGATGCTGCCTGCTGGACAGGCATGGGCTCTAATGTTCTTGAGGGTCTGGCCCAGGCTGCCTCCACTCCCTGCTGGGCTGTGGATTGGAAAAACCAGACAGCACAGAAACCAGGGGAGGAATTTGGCAAGGACTGGAGTCTGTGCTTAGAGCAGGAGGGATGAGTTTGGGGAAGAAGAGGCGGAGAGATTAAGAGAAAATATAATCGAATAAGTGATATGTTTTCTCCAGCAGAGCATCTGCCCACCCGGGATGAGCTCGCCAGATGTTCCCCAGATGTTGCTGGTGATGGGAAGCATCTCCCCGTGGGATCCCATCTAAACCTTTCCTGTTCCTGGGGAAATGCGGGGTCTGTTCCAAGGCCAGAAGGGTGGGGCCTTGGTAGCACTGACACAGGCAAACACACCCACACATCCTCAGGGAATTTCTGGAAACTTGGAAGGATCCTGCAGATTTCTCAAAAGTTGAGCATCCATGGACTAGCCTTTTTAGGTAAACAAAAATGACAATAAGTTTTAAATAAAAACTTTAAGAAATTAAAAGTTAGAGCCAGGGTTGGCACATGGCTGGAATCCCAGTACTCAGAAGGCTGAGGCAGAAAGCTCGCTTCAATTTGAAGACCAGCCAGGGCTACATAATGAGTTCAAGGCCAGCCTGGGCTACATAGTGAGGCCATGTCTCAAAAATACGAAATAAATAAACAAATGTTAATGCTATGTTCCCATCTGTAAGGCTGAAATGAAAAGATCAACGATAGCAAATATGGCAAGACTGAGAATTAAGCAGATCTATCAGACATTGTTGATGGAAGAGTAAACTGGCACAAAGCTTGAATGATAATGTCAGCATCCACTAAGGCTAAATGAAGCTGATCTCTGAGTCTGTGCAATTGTACTCCTCCTCATTACATTGCGGGGGGGGGGGGTCTTAGCTGCCAGAAGACCCGTGCAAGAATGTTGGAACTATTTTATGTATAATAGCTAAAAACTGGAAATAAGCTCACATGTTCACTAGTAGGTGAGTGGAAACAAACTGATGTTGTATATAACATGGAAATGAAGCACAAAGTATTGCCTCCAACAGTGACATGAATGAATCTTAAAAATATTGTGCTTAGAAGAAGCCAGGCATGCCTGTACTCCCAGCACAGGAGAGACTGAGGCAGGAGGATGGCTGTGAGTTCGAGGCCAGCCTGGGCTACATAGGGAGACCCTGTTTTCAAAGGGGGGATAAAAAAAGCGATAGGCATAAAAGAAAAATGGCTGTACTCTTACTTATTTACATGAGGTATAAAAACAGCTAGACTGGGCTGGCTGGATAGCTTAGTGGATTAAAGCACCTGCTTAGGCAGACACAGGGACCAGGGGTTCATGCCCAGTGTGCTGTACTGGCCCTGCCCCCAGGGTGCACTGAGAGGTAACTGAGATTGGGCGAGGTGGTACGTGTCTAATGATCCCAGCACTTGGGAGGCTGAAAACAGGAGAATGACTACGAGTCTGATTTGTGTAGTGAGACCCTGTAGACCCTGTAATAAATACATTTTTAAAAAAGAAAAAAAAAGCCAAACTATTAGTTACAGTGATACATACCTATAATCCCAGCACTGGGGAGGCTGAGGCAGGAGGATGGCCTCAAGTTTGAGACCACCGTAGGTACATAAAGTGTGCTCAAGGACAGTCTAAACTGAATAACGAAAGCCTGTCTAAAAAAAAAAAAAAAAAAAAAAGGCAAACAAGTTTGGAGAGGTTTAAAAACTGGAAAAGGATATAGCAGTCATTGGCAGCTAGAGAAGTTCTATACATTGAGCTGGGTAGTGGTAGGACAGGTAACACTGATGTAAAATTCAAGTTCTTTTTAAGTTTTTGTTATTTATTGTGTGTTTTGTTTTTGTTTCGGTTTTTTCACCATACTGGGGCTCCAGCCCAGGGTTTCATACATGTCAGGCAAGTGCTCTATCACTTAGCTACATTCCCAGTGAAATTCAAGGCCTTTCCTGTTTTACCTTCACAAAACAATTTTTAAGAGCAAAAGGCAGGCAGGCAGGTGGGGGATGGCAATCTTAGCAGCAGTGTTGTGGGCAGGAAGCCAACATTCAGACCTTCATCCCTAGGTCTACATCCAAATCTGCAGACCCCCAGGGCAGGCTCCACTGGTGACGATTTTTCTCCACCCATCAGTGTGGTGTTCGTGGGAAGCTTCTGTGCCAACAGCAACCCTTTGTGTCACTGGCTCTGGACAGGTGTCCAGCCATTCACTCTGGCACCAGGAGAAGGATCTGTACAGCCCTGATGGCCAAAGGCTTGGTCCCACAAGACTGGCCTGCAGCTTAGTCCTGGCCTCTTCTGCAGCTGACAGACCAGCCCTAGAGTCAGGGTTCCCTCACCCCTTCCCAAGCTTTGGTAATTTGCCAGCCTGGCTTGCAGAACTCAGGAACATGATTAACTTACTTTTTTTTTTAATATTTATTTATTTTGTGTGTGTGTGTGTGTGTGTGTGTGTGGCCAGCTCAGCCCACCTGGGGATGAGGCTTGCTGGCATGTGGTGCTGGGGGATCAAACCGTGGTCCCTGTGCGTTGCCAAGCTTGTTCCAAGTAGGTGCTTTAGACCACTGAGCTATCTCTCCAGCCCCATGATTAACTTACTAATTTATCATAAATGATGCGAATGAATAGGCAGGAGCAGAAGCCTGTAGGGCAAGGTTCCATGGTGTCCCAGCAGAACTGGGTTGTGGCACCCCATTGTGATGGGTGCATGGATGTGTCCCAGCCATAAACTCAGCAGATCTCGCTGTTCAAGGGCTCCTGAGAAGCTCAGCCTCCAGCCCTCTTACCCTTCCTAGATGTCAGAAGGCAGGCCTCAAATGCCACTTGGTCTTTCTGGTGACGGGCTCCTACTAGGAGCCCTGCCCCAAGTCATCGCATTAGCAGTAACTCAGGTATAACTGAAAGGGGCTGCTTATAAACAAGATATTCCTGTCACTCAGGAAATTCCAAAGGTTTTTAGGAGCTCTGCCAGGAATCAGGGACAAAGACCAAATATTTGCCTTATTTTGCCATAGATGGGTAAGAATTTATTCTACAACAGCTCTCAGGTCCAATGGATTTTATGTTACTATTCATGCAAGAGTTTTATTGTTTAGCTTTTATATTAGGTTTGATCTAGTGCATGTAGGGGGACATGGGTGTGGGTGTGAGTGGGTGTATGTGTGTGTAATACTAACTATTGAACCCAGGGCCTTCACATTAAGCTACACACTAATCCTATTTTTACATTTTTTCT